AATGTTTCCTTTTCTGGCTGTTCATAATATTTACATAGCAAGATGATCAAGCAAATATCTCTGGGAAGTATGCTGAATCCCTTAGGATCATGAGACATGGTGATAGAGTTAAAACAAGTGGTAGATGTACATTTAGCATTTGGCAAACTCCCACACTTATTTCCAGAGTAGCTTGACAAATTTTCAAAATGAAAAGTGGGAACATATTTTCCATTTTCCTTATTTACCTAGATCAGTTGCCAAAATTTTGTTCATCTCATTCATTCTTATTTGTGGCAGCTAAAATATCAAATAGTTTTGATTTTCATTTCTAGGTAAAAGTATTTAATAACAAACTAACAGAGTAAAAAAATCTGAATTTGTAAATCTGTCAGAGAATACGTGAGAACACAAAGGGTGCATGTCAAGGAACCAATTAAAGATGAATCTTGACTCAGATATTTTACCAGGTGAACCAATGGATATATGTACTGCTCATTAGTGTGTTGAAATCTACCACCTACTTGCATACACATATGTATAAAAACACAATTAAAATGTTTATATTACATGTACACTCACAAATACAAATCAAACACTGAAGAATTTGTGAAAACATGCATGTGAAAACACATTTATAAATAAATAAATATATATAAAAATATATATATAAACACATATATAAATAAATACATTTATTTCCTTGAATGACGAACATAAAATGTTTATTTATCATTATGAAACTGGAAGTAACTCCATGTTGATTGGATATATGGCTAAAACCTACTATTTAATTTTGTAAACTAAGTAACATGTGTATTAAATTCTACTAGCTTAAATATCTGATATCGTCTGATGATTCATTCCAACAAGCATAGCACTTGTACAAATGGACACTGGCAAATCACACAGAAACACATGTACTACCCAGCCCAGAGTCACTATTTAAAATGCCCAGATAGAAATGGAGGCCTTATTCTGGATAGCTAATAGGCAAAACCTACATGTAACTGGTGTAATTTGGGTCTGATGGGAATTAAAACCCTTTCCAATTTTGAGAATCGCTGAATGGCTCAGTTCTCAGCAATGCTGCAGGATGTCCCGTGCAGAATTTCTCCCCAAATTCTGACAGAGTTTATAAGTATACCCCCTCCACCTTGTTAAGTGTATACCCCCTCCACCTTGTTAAGTGTTTACCCCGTCCACCTTGTTAAGTGTATACCCTCTCCACCTTGTTAAGTGTATACCCGCTCCACCTTGTTAAGTGTATGTCCTCAACCACCAGGCATGAATTCTTGATTTTGCCTGCTGTTTTCTGAAGTCAGGGCTCAGGGTAAAGTTTTCCTATCTTTCTCTTTACACTTTTCTATTTCTACGGTCATATAAAGATAGCTGGTTAAGTGATATGCAAAAAAGGACCTGATATCGATTTCCTTACTTACAACATGCTTTGATTTAATTTTAGTTTTGAGATCTCTGTCATGATTGGTCATATATCCATTCTTTATTTTCATGGGCATTCTCCATTTGGATGCAAATTTCAAGATGTAATTGTTTTTACTGCTGAATAGTTCTCCAATGTGTAAATATCACATATTTCTTTTTTCATTATTCTGTTGATAGGCATCTAGGTTGTTTCCAATTTCTGGCTACGACAAAGAATGCTTTTATGAGCACAGGTGAAAAAATTTCCTTGTACAATTGGTTTCAACCCATATTTTTTATCACATCATCAATATTTATCAGATATTCCATATCTCACTTCTAAAATTCTTTCATGTATGCAAGATCACTCTCTCCAACTTTCTGTTTGTCTCTCAATTCAAAACATTATTAAAAAAGGAACAGAAATAAAAGAAAAAAGAAAAGACTTCAAACGACCAACTGAGGCATCAGCAATCACTACAACAACCGCATCAGTTTTATATTTTAGTGCTTTATTATATTATTTTGATGACTCCTTCTTCTAGCTGCTGCCCATTTAATGTTTTCTAATTCATTACCAAAATCATTTTTACTTCTTGCTAATTGCTATTGTTTCTTACAATACAAAATAATGTACATAGCTACTCCATGCTCCATAAATTATTGATTATATGTAAATCTGTATAGCTGATTCTTTGGTATTGGATAGTCTACCATGGGACATGTCTCTGGTGAAGAATGATTCTCTGTCACTTACCATCCATCACTTGCTGGAAGATTGTGAGCTGAATGTGGGATCTATAAAGATTATTCCATCAATATTGGCATAACAACTTTTTGTGTTTGGTGGTAATCATTTTACATGTACATGTTTTCTATTTTTGTGTTGTTAGCTTTTTTGATCACATAGAAAATACTTTTTTTCACAACAGCTATCCTTTTTTTAAAAAATGTTATCATTGGTTTGTATATTTTCTGCAATGTTTTCTCTGGTTTGGAATAATGGTGAGTGTTTGGCGATGATCAGTTAAGCTTTGGCATAACACTGGCAATTGTTGTTTGTAGTTTGAGCTTTTTGGATTCTGTAAGAATCTCGATCTCCTGGAAAATGAAGGTATTCCTAAGGATGACAGCTAAAGTAGTGTTGTGGGGTTTCAATTTTTTAGGCTAGTGGCTTTTAGGAATCATGAACCCTAGGGCATTTTCTTTTTTTGAGATTGTGATAACATGAAATATGATGGGATGTCTCTCTATCTCAGTGGTTCTTGCACTCTCTGGAGTGATCACAGTGTGATAGGCAGCATTGCAGTTGGTGTTCTTCACCCCAGGGCAGAAGATCTGCATAGATGAAGCTGGATCAGTGGTGGCTTCTAACCTGTTCTGCACCAGTGAGTGAACTCCCTGTTTTGTACCTAAGTAAATTTTTGAGAACATTTTCTAGACTTTTGTGGAGTCACGCTATACAAGGGGAGAATCTCAGTATGACTAGAGAGAGTACTCATATATTCTAAGTCTTATCAGAGTGTTTATTATTATTTAATGACCTAATGGAGAAAATGCTTCAGATTTTCTAAGGCAGGCTTGAAGAATGAGAGGCTACTTATTTTCCACGAGATTGTCTGGACTCAGTGAACTCAGAAGTTCACTGAGAACTCAGAGATATAAAACTAGTAAAATATTTAGCTGCATAAAAGGAATATCTGTGGTTCTCTGCTTAATATCCCCTGTTATTTTTTGCTTTACGATTTAGAGCCTAGGCTGGGCAGTGGTGGTGCACGCCTTTAATCCCAGCACTTGGGAGGCAGAGGAAGGCGGATCTCTATGAGTTCGAGGCCAGCCTGGTCTACAAGAGCTAGTTCCAGGACAGGAACCAAAAATCTACGGAGAAACCCTGTCTCAAAAAAATAAAAAAAAAATGATTTAGAGCCCATACAGTGTCTTGCACTGCTACATCAGCAAGCTGCTTGGTAGGAAACAATAACCACAGTAGTTTGTTATTGGAATTCATGTATTAAAATCAGGAAAACAATCACTACCATTTTATATCAGGCTAAGAAACATAGACATAAGAACTATGAGTTCTTACAAAGTATAAGATTAAATGCTTTGAATAATTTTGTACTGCTGAGAAACGCTATGTCATTCTGACATTGCTTATATACCATTGCATGCAACCAGCTTGTGATGCATATTTCAGGAAAATTTCACACTTACCATCCACAAATATTTATCCAAACATTTTGCATATATACTTGTATCAGTATAAAACCAATGGAACATTATAATACCCTGTGTAAATCCTAAGTATTATCAGCGTGGTTTGTGTTATTAAATCAGATGATGAAACATAAAAGACAGATTTCCTCACAGCCCTGAGAGATAAGAGTGTCCTGGTATTAGATTCCATATCCATGCACACAGATTATTTACCCCAACACAAATATCACAGAATACAGAGAAAGCATATGTTCTAGGGATAGAGTTTTGATTTTAGAGGAATTCTTGTGAGTCTTGTGAGGGAAATGTAGTGAACATTTTAATATGTCCATTTTCACACATTAATACTGAAAAAAATATGTTAGGAGTACAAATTGGCTCTTTGAAACCAAAATTGATGCCAAATGAATGCAGATACGTATGTAGCCAAAAAAAAAAAACAACTTAAAAGCAAATTATCAGTTGTTGAGTTTATATATGCATTAGGAATATTAATTTTGAAAATTAATAGCTCACATCATTTTTTAATGTTCAAGACACAGAAGTTTGAAAATTGGAGGTGTTCAGATCAGGGCTTGAAAGTTCATTGTTTCTTCTCAAAATACAAGCATCGCATTCAGGAACACACAAATATATTCATGTGTGTGAGTTACAAATGTATAAACATATATAAATATACATACGTATACATATCTATAAATGGTATATACTTGTATAAACAGAGAGAAAGTTTATATATATATGTATATATGTATGTATGTATATATATACTCTCCCTGGGTATGTGTGTGTGTGTGTATATATATATGAGAGCTAGCAGTCAAGCATTTAATCATTGAACATTGAATTTGGGGAAGTTTACTTGGCAAATCAGAAAATGAGAACAAAAAGCAGTAATAGGCAACCCAGAATCACAAAAGGAGGCTTCATTCTATCAGGTATGTAACCAGGTACTGTGACCCAGAGGCAAATACAGGATGAAGCACTATTTGCCAGAGGTTGTTTCTTTTCAATTTATCAACTGGAGTCACAGTCCATTATACGTGACAATTTCCCTTGTCGTTCACTTTCAGTTTCACTTCTTCTGCTGCATCACACACAGAGGTGAGAGTAAAAAAAAAAATCAATAAGCATCTAAAAGAGAGATCTCCAAGGTTACCCCATGATTTGCCTTAATTGCTGAAATTGAGATTGCTCTATTCTTTGGTCCTTATTTCCTGCTCACTTTGAATGCACGCACTCCTTCAATCAGAGCCCAGGAGTGATAATAAATGCGTCCACAGTGCGGGCTTTTTCCAGTCGTGCTCTGGCTATAGTCCAGGTTTCACAGTAGGACCTGGTATAACCAAAGTCCGGCTGTACAGTTGCCTAGACTAGGCAGACTGCTCCTCAGTTTTGCCGGAGTCAAAGCGGTGGAAAGTAGCAAAGGCTGGGATTGTTTAATTCCCAGCATTTTATTTCTGAGTTACCTGATCCTGTGTCCTATGCAGCAAATGGGATCCTGGTTTTGAAGGTCCTGCTTCTCTTTCAAAAAGTGAGTTTTTTTTTTCTAATTATCTATATTCTCGTGTTAGTATAATAAGCATATTTTAAGAGTATGGTGTGGCACTGTAAAATCAAATTAATATCAAATGCATGTGGGCACTGTGGAACCACAAATAATATTTTATAAACAAATGTGCAATTTCTGACTATACAAGTATGATGACTATTATTGTTTTAAAGTCATGCCACAGATTATTGCTTAATCATTAGGACACTGTTGCATAGAGTATGCAAATTGAGGACGTTCAGAGATTTGGTGAAAAAAAATTTCCATTTATAAACAAGCAGGTCATTTCAGGCACTGTTATATATAAGATAACTCATAAAACGTAAGCATTTAAACATACATGGGAACTCAGAAAAGGCATAACACAAAATGACTGCAGAAAGAAGCAAATAGGCAGCAAAGATTTTTAATTACCAACCTACAGTCAGAAAATTATGCTTTCAAAAACAAAGCTTGGATGGAGACAATGGTATCAGATAAAGGATCGAAACATACTGGCCACAGGTGTTTCGTTTGGTTTTGTTGATTTTTGAGTCTGAACCCAGGGAATCAGCTTATTTGTCTCACATCGAATTTCAATTTCTCAGCTTCAGCTGCAAAATAACTTCCGGTCAGGATAAGAATGAATCAGCAACTCTGATGGAGATCTCCATCATTACCACAGTATTTGCCTTCTTTGCTGGAACTGAGATCACTCTCCTCATTGGTCCTTAATTCATGCTTAATTTGAATGCACAAATTCCTTCAATCAGAGCCCAGGAGTGCTTATAAAAGTGTCAGCAGTGCAGCTTCTTTCCAGTAGGGCTCTGTCTATAGTCCAGGACTCAGTAGGACCTGGGTATAACCAGAGCCCCACTGATCAAGCACCCAGACTGGGCAGAATGCTGCTCACATATTCCGGAGTCATAGCAGGTGAAATAATGCAAAGGCAGGGATTGCTTGTTTCCCGGCATTATAGCTCCATATCACCTGATCCTGATTCCTATGCAGCAACTAGGATCCTGTTTCTGAAGGTACTGCTTCATTTATAAGATGTGATTGTTTTATAAATTTCAATATTCTCATATTAATAGTAAACAGAATATTTTACTAGTATGGTATGACTATGTAAAATAGAAATTTATGCCAAATGCCGGCAGACATTTGTGGAACCACATATAAATAATTATGTACTAATGAATAATTTCTGAAAGAATACAAGTGTTACAAATCCTTATTTCAAAAGTGAATGCCTCAAGTTATAGCTTAATCAGTGGACACTGCTGAATACAGTATACAATTAAGAACATTCAGAGTAGGGATGAATGAAACCTTTTGATTTATAACACAAACATGTTTAAGCATTTAAACATTGTATGTGTGAACTCACTAATGACTTAAATGATCTCAATTATTAAAGAGAGAGAAAGAGAGAGAGTATAAGGGGACTCATGTAGCTACAGCTCAGGGTATAAATTCGTCTTTTTCCTATGTTTCTCTTTCACTTCGCCTGTTCCGGTTGCATCAGACAGTGAGGAGGGAGGGATAGATGATTCAGTAGCTCTGGTGGAAATCACCTAGGTTACTGCAGGCTTTTTTTTTTCTGCTTTCTATGCTGTCAATGGCATCTCTCCTCTGATTGGTTCTAATCTAATTAATTCTCACTTAGAAGGCACACACTCCTCCAATGAGAGGCAAACAGAGCGAATAAAAATTTCCTCGGCTGGGCATTTTAGCAGTCAGGCTCTGGCTAGAGTCCAGCTATCAGCTGGTAGCTGATCTAGCCACAGCCTGACAGTAAACTGCTCCAGAGAAGGAAGCCTGCTGCTGACACCCGCAGGAGGCAGAGCTAGTGAAGACATAGCACAGACAGGAGAGTGCTGGGATACCTGCTGCTTCTGCTCTGAGTAACCTGCACCTGGTTACTATGCAAAAATGACAAAAAATGAGAGCAGAAAGAAGCAATTGACAGCAAAGTTTCATAATCACCCGCCTACTGTCAGAAATTACAGCTTTCAAGTACATAGCCTGGATGGAGACAATGGTATCAGATAAAGGATCGGACCATACTGGCCACAGGTGTTTCAGGGTATTTTTTTTATTTTAATTTTTATTTATTTATTTATGTTTTTTTTTTTTTTTTAAGTCCGAACCCAGGGGAATCAGATTTTTGCCTCACATCCAATTTCAATTTCTCAGCTTCAGCTGCAAAATAACTTCCGGTTAGGACAGGAATGAATCAGCAGCTCTGATGGAGATCTTCATCATTACCACAGTATTTGCCTTATTTGCCAGAACTGAGATCACTCTCGTCATTGGTCCTTAATTCATGCTTAATTTGAATGCCCAAACTTGGTCAATCAGAGCCCAGGAGGGCTTATAAAAGCGTCAGCAGTGCAGCTTCTTTCCAGTGGGGCTCTGGCTATAGTCCAGGTCTCAGTAGGACCTGGGTATAACCAGAGCCCCACTGATCAAGCACCCAGACTGGGCAGAATGCTGCTCACATAAACAGGAGTCGTAGCAGGTGACATGAAGCAAAGGCAGGGATTGCTTGTTTCCCAGCATTATAGCTCCATATCACCTGATCCTTATTCCTATGCAGCAAGTAGGATCCTGCTTCTAAAGGTACAGCTTCTTTTATAAGATGTGATTGTTTTATAAATTTCGATGTTCTCATATTAATAGTAAACAGAATATTTTACTAGTATGGTATGACTATGTAAAATAGAAGTTTTTGCCAAATGCCTGCAGACATTTGTGGAACCACATATAAATAATTATGTACTAATGAATAATTTCTGAAAGAATACAAGTGTTACGAATCTTTATTTCTAAAATGAATGCCTCAAGTGATTGCTTAATCAGTGGACACTGCTGAATACAGTATACAATTAAAAATATTCAGTGTAGGGATGAATGTAACCTTTTGATTTATAACACAAACAAGTCCTTTCAGGCTCCCCCATTTATTGAATAATGGGTGAAGTTTATGCCTTTAAACATTGTGTGTGTGTGGAATCTGACATGGCACATCAGAAAATGACAGCAAAAAGAAGCAATTTGGAGTAAATTCATAATTCCCCAACTTCTTGCAGAAATGGAAGCTTTCATATATAAAGCCAGGATATAGGACCTGGTAGATGGATCATCTCTTACATGCGACATATTTCTTATGATAATTGAAGTCAGTACCTAGGGAAAATTACATCCCTATTCAGTTTTGTCCCTTCTGCTGCAACACAATTAACGTGGAAGACAGGAATGAATCGGCCTTTGTGAATATCTCTAGGTTACATCATAATATCCGTCCATTTCTGGAATTGAGATCACTCCACTTATTGGCTCTTTTTTTAATGATCAGTTTGAATGCATACTCTTTTCAATCAGAGCCCAGGAGCACTAATAAAAGCATCAGAAGTGTGGGTTCTTGCCAGTCGGGCTATGGCTATAGCCCAGATCTCAGGTGGATCTGGATATAACCAAAGCCTGACTGTACAGTTGCCCAGATAAGGCAGACTGCTCCTCCCTTGTTCATGAGCCAGAGTCTGTGAACATCAGCAAATACAGGTATTTTTATGATTCCCAGCCTTATAGCTCAGTGATCTGCTCCTGTCTCATCTGTAAGAATTAGCAAGCTGCTTCTAAAGCTACTGCTTTTCTATTTAGATTTGAATCCCCTGTCTCAGTCTTGAAGTATTTAATCACTCGTAAGAAAGAAATACTAATTCAGATGTAGCATCAGGCATACAGTAGGAGAGTCAGGCTCCTTTCTGCCCACCGGGAGATCCATAATGTGAATTGCTCTAACATTGTCAACGTTCATCAGCAACCCTTAGAACCTATGAAAATATGAATCAGTAACATTTGCAGATGCTATGTTTTCTAAAACCAAAGGATGGGGAAAGCTTGGTGGAAAGGGATGTTTGGGATAAAGGAAGGGTGGAATGGGAGAAGGGAAGTATATATCTTAATTATGGGAGCCATTTTAGGGTTGGCAAGAGTCTTGACTCTAGAGGGGTTCCCAGGGGTCCAGAGATATGTCCCCAGCTAGGTCCTTGGGCAGCTGAGGAGAGAGAGCCTGAAATGGCCTGATCCTATAGCCATACTAATGAATATCTTGCATATCACCATAGAACCTTAATCTGGTGATGGATGGAGATAGAGACAGAAACCCACCTTGGAGCACTCGACTGAGCTCCCAAGGCACAAATGAGGAGCAGAAGGAGGGAGAACATGAGCAAGGAAGTCAGGATCGCGCGGGGTGCACCCACCCACTGAGAAGGTGGGGCTGATCTAATGGGGCTCACCAAAGCCAGCTGTAGTGAGACAGAAACAGCATGGGATAAAACTGGACTATCTGGACATGGCAGACAATGAAGGCTGCTGAGAAGACCAGGACAAAGCCACTAGGTTTTGCTCCTACTGCACGTACTGGCTTTGTGGGAGCCTAGCTTGTTCGGATGCTCACCTTTCTAGACCTGGATGGAGGGGGGAAGGACCTTGGACTTCACACAGGGCAGGGAACCCTGACTGCTCTTTGGACTGCAGAGGGAGAAGTAGGGGAATGCGGGGTGGGGAGTGGGTAAGGGGGAGGGAAAAGGGGGGCAAAGTGGAGGCAGAAATTTTTAATAAAAATCATATTGAAAAAAAAACAAAGTTTCATTTTCTATGGGCAGATGTGAGAGACATTTCTTGCTTGATAATTGATGTTTAAGGGCCATTTCAATATGGTGAGTGAAAGCATTAGAGAGATGATCAGGAGATTCATATAAAGTCAAACTATAATGTGGGAGTATTACCATGCTCTCTGTTTTTGTCACTGCCTACAGTTACATGCATTGTACACCAAAATTGAATTTCCATGATGGTGGACTGTATATTGTCAAGAGAACTGGTTCTACTACTCACCAATAATGGTAAGTTAGTAGGTTTTTTTTTATTTTTTTTTAATTGAGAAAAGGAAAAAAAAGTTTCTGCCTCCTCCCAGCCCCCCATTTCCCTCCCCCTCCTCCCACTCTTCTTCCCCTCCCCACACTCCTCTACCCCTCCCTCTCCAGTCCAAAGAGCACACTATCTTCATCCATTCTTCCACTGAAGGACATCTATGTTGTTTCCAGGTTCTGGCTATTACAAATAATACTGCTATAAACATAGTTGAACAAATGCTTTTGTCATATGATAGGGCATCTCTTGGGTATATTCCCAGGAGTGGTATTGCTGGGTCCAAAGGTAGGTTGATCCCAAATTTCCTGAGAAACCAAAACACTGATTTCCAATGTGGTTGCACAAGATTGCATTCCCACCAGCAATGGATGAGGGTACCCCTTCCTCCGCAGCCTCTCCAGAAAGGCTATCATTGGTGTTTTTGAATTTAGCCATTCTGACAGGTATAAGATGATATCTCAAAGTTGTTTTGATTTGCATTTCCCTGATCGCTAAGGAGGTTGAGCAAGACCTTAAGTGTCTTTTGGCCATTTGAACTTCTTCTGTTGAGAATTCTCTATTCAGTTCAGTGCCCCATTTTTAATTGGGTTAATTAGCATTTTAAAGTCTAGTTTCCTGAGTTCTCTATATATTTTGGAGATCAGACCTTTGTCTGTTGCGGGGTTGGTGGAGATCTCCCAGTCACTAGGTTGCCTTTTTGTCTTAGTGACAGTGTCCTTTGCTTTACAGAAGCTTCTCAGTTTTAGTAGGTCCCAGTTATTCAATGTTGCCCTTAATGTCTGTGCTTCTGGGGTTATACATAGGAAGCGATCTCCTGTGCCCATCTGTTGTAGGGTACTTCCCACTTTCTCTTCTCTCAGGTTCAGTGTGTTCGGACTGATATTGAGGTCTTTGATCCATTCGGACTTGAGTTTTGTGCACGGTGATAGATATGGGTCTATTTTCATTCTTCTACAGGTTGACATCCAGTTGTGCCAGCACCATTTGTTGAAGATCCTTTATTGTATAGGATTGTTTTTGCTATCCTGGGTTTTTTTGTTTTTCCAAATAAAGTGGATTATTGTCCTCTCAAGGTCTGTGAAGAATTTTGATGGGACCTTGAAGGGGCTTGCATTGAATCTATAAATTGATTTTGGTAGAATTGCCATTTTTACTATGTTGATACTCCCAATCCAAGAGCAAGGGAGGTCCTTCTATTTTCTGGTATCCTCTTCAATTTCTTTCTTCAATGCCTTTAAGTTCTTGTCAAATAGATCTTTCACTTCCTTATTTAGAATTACCCCAAGATATTTTATGCTGTTTGTGGCTATCATGAAACGTGAAGCTTCTCTGATTTCCCTCTCTGTTTCCCTATCCTTTGTGTGTAAGAGGGCAACTGATTTTTTGGAGTTGATATTATATTCTGCCACAGTGCTAAAGGTGTTTATCAGCTGTAAAAGTTCTTTGGTGGAGCTTTGGGGGTCGCTTATGTACACTATCATATCATCTGCAAATAACGAAAGTTTAACTTCTTCCTTTCCAATTTGAATCCCTTTGATCCACTTATGTTGTCTTATTGCTATTGCTAGAACTTCAAGCACTATATTGAAGAGGTAAGGCAAGATTGGACAGCCTTGTCGTGTTCCTGAGTTTAGTGGGATGGCTTTGAGTTTCTCTCCGTTTAATTTGATGTTTGCTGTCGGCTTGCTGTATATAGCTTTTATTATATTTAGGAATGACCCTTGTATCCCTAATCTCTCCAAACTTTTATCTTAAAGGGATGTTGAATTTTGTCAAATGTTTTTCAGCATCTAATGAAATGATCATATGTTTTTTTTTACTTTCAGTTTATTTATATGATGGATTACATTGATAGATTTTCATATGTTGAACCAGCCCTGCATCTCTGGGATGAAGCCTATTTGATCATAATGGATAATTTTTCTTGGATTCGGTTTGCCAGTATTTTGTTGAGGATTTTTGCTTCGATGTTCATGAGTGAGATTGGCCTGTAATTCTTTTTCCTGGTTGAGTCTTTGTGTAGTTTTGGTATCAGAGAAACTGTAGCTTCATAAAAGGAATTGGGTAATGAACTCTTCTGTTTCTATATTGTGAAATAAATTAAGGAGTATAAGTATTAGGTCTTCTTGGAAGTTCTGGTAGATTTCCGCATTGAAACAATCTCATCCTGGGCTTTTTTTGGTAGGGAGGTTTTTGATAACAGCTTCTAATTCTTCGCGACTAACAGGTATTTAGATTGTTCATCTGGTCCTGTTTTAACTTTGGTATATGGTATTTATCTAAAAAAAAAGTGTCCACTTCTTTGACATTTTCCAGTTTTGTGCCATACAGTCTTTTGTAGTCAGATCTAATGATTCTCTGAATTTCCTCTGTGTTTGTGGTTATTTCCCCCTTTTCATTTCTGCTCTTATTAATTTGCATATTCTCTCTCTGCCATTTGATTAGTTTGGATAGGGGTTTATCAATCTTGTTGATTTTCTCCAGGAACCAGCTTTTCGTTTCATTGATTCTTTGGATTGTTTTCTGTGTTTCTGTTTTGTTGATTTCAGCCCTCGGTTTGATTATTTCCAGTATTCTACTCCTCCTAGGTGAGTCTGCATCTTTTTTTTTTCTAGAGCTTTCAGGTGTGCTGTTAAGTCTCCAATATGTGCTTTCTCTGTTTTCTTTAGGTGGGCACTTATTGCTATGAACTTTCCTCTTAGGACTGCTTTCATAGTGTCCCATAAGTTTGAGTATGTTGTTTCTTTATTTTCATTGAATTCAAGGAAAACTTTAACTTCTTTCTTTATTTCTTCCTTAATCCAGGTATGGTTCAGTAGTTGACTGTTCAGTTTCCATGAGTTTGTTGGCTTTCTGGGGGTAGCATTGTTGTTGAATTCTAACTTTAATCCATGGTGATCTGATAAGACACAGGTGGTAACTAATATTTTTTTTTGTAACTGTGTAAGTTAGCTTTGTTACCGAGTATGTGGTCAATTTTCGAGAAGGTTCCATGAGCTGCAAAGAGAAGGTATATTCTTTCCTCTTTGGGTGGAATAATCTATAGATGTCTTTTAAGGACATTTGCATCATTACCTCCATTAATTCTCTAATTTCTCTGTTATGTTTATGTCTGATTGACCTGTCCATTGGTGAGAGAGGAGTGTTGCAGTCTCCTACTATTAGTGTGTGTAGTTTGATGGCTGCCTTGAGTTTTAGTAATGTTTCTTTTACGTACGTGGGTGCTTTTATATTAGGGGCATAGATATTCAGGATTGAGACTTCATCCTGATGAATTGTTCCTGTTATGAGTATAAAATGTCCCTCTCCATCTCTTCTGATTGATTTAAGTTTGAAGTCAACTTTGTTAGAAATAAGTATGGCCACACCTGCTTGTTTCTTAGGTCCATTTGCTTGATAAGCCTTTTCCCATCACTTTTCTCTGAGTGGGTGCCTATCTTTGTGGTTGAGGTGTGTTTCTTGTAAACAGCAGAATGTTGGATACTGTTTTTGTATCCAATCTCTTAGCCTGTGCCTTTTTATAGGTGAGTTGAGTTCATTGACATTAAGTGATATCAATGACCAATGGTTGTTAACTCAGGTCACTTTATTAGTAGTAGAGTTTGTGTGTTTACCATCTTTGAGGTAAATCTTTATTTAGGTTGGGAAAGTTTTCTTCTATAATTTTATTAAGTATATTTTCTGGACCATTGAGCTGCACTTCTCCTTCTTCTACTCCAATTATTCTTAGGTTTGGTCTTTTTATTGTGTCCCATATTTCCTGAATGTTTTATGATGATAGTTTGTTGGACTTGCTGTTTTCTTTGATCATTGCGTTTATTTCCACTATGTTATCTTCAGAATCTGAGATTATTTCTTCTATCTCCTGTATTCTGCTGGTTATGCTTGTTTCTGTAGTCTCTATTCGTTTACCTAGATTTTCCATGTCTAGCCGGCCCTCTGTTTGTGCTTTCTTCTTTGCCTCCATTTCCGTTTTCAAGTCTTGAACTGTTTCCATTATCTGTTTGATTGTTTTTCCTTGGTTTCCTAGGGTATCATTCACTGATTTATTCAATTCTTCAAACTTTCTGTTATACTTCTCATCCATTTCTATAAGGGCATTTTTTACATGCTGTTTAAGGATTTCAATCACTTTCATAAAGTCAATTTTTTTCTACTTCTGCTTGATTAAGGTGTTCTTGTCCTCCTGTTGTGAGGTCGCTTGGTTCTGGTGGTTTCATGTTGTTCTTCAGATTGTTGGGTGAAATTCTTGCATTGGCACCTGCCCATCTCTTCCATCGAATGCTTCCCTATGTATCTTCTTTTACAGGATCACGTCTCCTTGCCTACTGATGTACCTTCCCAGTGTTGGCACTCCCCAGTGATGGCTCTCCTGGTGCTCGAGTGATGTCTCTCCCCCATGATGGCTCTCTTGGTGCCAAGATCAGATCTCGGTGCTGGTTGGGTAGCTCGTAAACAAAGTGCCTACCATGCTTGCTGCAGTCAGGCTATAGAAACAAAGAAGCTCCTGCCTGCTAAGTTGCCCTTGAGATTCGTTGCCAGCGCCCCAAGAGGGAAGGGAGGCAGAAAGGGGGAGGGGGAGGGTTCTGGATACAAGCTGGGTGGGATAGGAAGAGAGAGGCAGTATGCTGGGAGTATAGGCCCAGCAGGAAGCCCAGGAAGTATAGGGAGGATGAGGAATGTCTGAGTTCCCTGTCCCGGGCTGCTGTCGTGGGTCCCAAACTGACCCCAATAATGGCTCTCCTGGTGCAGAGATCAGATCTCTCGTAAGTTAGTATTTTATCAAAGCAGCAGAAAATATGCATGGCATAGTGAAAGAAAAATACATGGCAAGAATCGAGTGCCAAAGACTTTGCTGAGATAGCTTGAGCTTTTCTTTTGAAAATGGGGTTAAATGAATTTAGAATGTTCCAGAAAGTCAAAATGTAACTAGAAGATACTGGTCAATGCACATTTCTTTTGTAGAGGTGTA